ATGTTGGGCCATCAGGCTCTGTGATGACAGCTCGGAACCTGGAGCCTGCTTCAAATTCTGTGTCTCCCTCTCTCTGTCCCTCCTGCTCGTGTTCTATCTCAAAAATAAATAGACATTAAAAACAATTTAAAAAGGAAAGAAAAGCAAGTGTACTTAAAAAAAATATTAGAAGAAAACCACTTGTAATCTAAATAGGTGAATATGTTTAGAGTAGCATTTTTTTTTTTTTTTTTTTTTGGAACTGAGAGAGAGAACACAAGTAGGGGAGGGGCAGAAACAAAGAGGGAGGCATCATCTGAAACAGACTCCAGGCTCTGAGCTTTCTTCCCAGAGCCCAGTGCATAGCTGGAACCCATGAGTTGCAAGATTATGAACTAAACAAAGTGGGACACCTGACTGAGCCACTTGGCTGGTGCCCCTGGTCATTTCCTAACACTTTGATTAATTGACTTTCTAATCTTTATTCTGGGCCTAAAAAAGAGAATACAACATTTATAATTTTGTATTGCTTTTCGTTTATTTAACATTATTAGCAGAGACTGCTGGGTAGCTCAGTCTTAAGTGTCAACTCTTGATTTTGACTCGGTCACTATCTCTCGTTCATGAGATCAAAATCCTACATTGGGCTCTCGCTGAGGATCTGGAGCCTACTTAAGTTCTTTCTTTCTCTACCCTCCTGCTTGCATATTGTACACATGCATATGCTCTCTCCCCCATAAAATAAATAAAAATTTTAAAAGCTTTCTGTTTTAAAAATGTTGTGGCATACTTTTCATGCTTAAATAAATAAGAAGATTGGAATTTTTTAGTGACTGTGTAACAGTTAATCAAATAGATATGGTAAGTGCTTTTAATTTTGCTCATAAATGATGATGCCGTTCAAATTTATGAATAAAAAGAGTCTTTCTATTTTGGATTATGTCCCTGGATAAATTTGTAGAAGTATAGAGAATCTTATGTCAAGATTTCAGAACATTTAAAACTTTCTATACAAACATGTATTGGATATTTGTTTGCTAAACATGTGCTTATTTGTTACATTCTTAGCAACAATGATTGAACACCATCTTGACCATCCTACAAAATTATCTGGGGTGGGGGTGGAAGTACCAACGAGACTGACTGTTAAAGCACAATAGTGCGTAACTGTCTCTAGTCACTTTATGTTAAATTTGGTAAGTGCATCTAACCCACCTTCAGTGGTCCTAAATTTCAAAGGAGAGAAGAGAATAATATTAACATAGATTAAACATTTGTGGAAAATAAGTATATAATGTGAATAATAAATAAATTATTTATACTCTCTGCTTCACTACTTTCAGGGTCATTATTTGCAGTTTCAAATGGGAACCAAGAAGTATCAAAAAGACCAAGTGGCAAGAAGAGAAATGATGGGAATAAAAAGAAAAGAGTCCACCAACTGTGTTCTGATAATTGCTTTTACTTACTGGTCCTCTGTGTATCTAAGCTGTTAAGTTAAATGAATCTTAATAACTGTAACTATATTTCAAATATGGGAGGGCTGTACGGTACTCTAATAATTTGTTACTTTACTTTGTCAGATTTAATTGATTTGAAATATAGGAGCTGCTGTAGGCAGAGAGTCCGGATGAATAATATTTATCCAGGAGCTTCTGTATTATTGGTTATTTTCCATATTTACCAGCAGTTGTATTGGCAGGTATTGTTTGATCAGTGGTTCTAACACTTTATGCATCAGAATCACCAAGAAAGATTTAATGAAAACATCAACTGTTGGGGGGAGGGCACCTAGGTAGCTCAGTCTGTTGAGTGTCGACTTTATCAGGTCATGATCCCACACTGTTCGTAAGGTTTCCAGGCCCCAATAATAGGGCTCTGTGTTGATAACTAACCCCAGGCAGAACTGGAGCCTGGATGCAATGTGTCTTGCCTCTATCTCTGCCCCTCCCCACTGCGTGTGCATCGTTAACTCTCTCTCTCTCTCTCAAAAATGAATAAACATTTAAAAAGTGAAAAACACACAAACAACAAATCAACTCTTGGTCCCAACCCAAATTCCTTGTTCAGTAGGTATGAGTTGGGGCCCAATATTGTAATTCTTACAAAGTTGGGTGATAATGATGCTGCTTTTACAAGGTTCTTAGAAATTGGGGTGCCTGGGTGGCTCAGTTGGTTGAATGTCCGACTTGACTCAGGTCATGATCTCGGGGTTTGTGAGCTCGAGCCCACAGCATCGAGCTGTGTGCCCCAGCACAACTTGGAGCCTGGAGCTGCTTTGATTCTGTGTCTTCCTTCACTTCTCTCTCTCTCACCCCTCACCTTTTGCAGTCTCTCTCTCTCTCTCTCAAAAAATAAATAAACATTAAAAAGTTTTTTAAAAAAGACAAAAGTTCTTATAAGAAACTTTATGAACCTTTTGTTTTTAGGAAAGAAAAAATTAAGTGAAAGAAAAAGCGGAAATATATGGAATACTTAAAACAGTGGAGTAAACCTAGAGAAGACCGGAATAATGACGATCTTAAAAAGGGTAAGTATGTTATGTGATGATTTCAAAGCCCACCATGCTCTGTGTGTGCCCTATCAACGGCTTTGCTGATGAAATTTTTCTTTCATAGTGGCTTCTTCATATTTAAGAAGAGAATAGCCAATTAACCAAATACTTATATTTAGAGTTCCAAAACAGCATTATTAGTATTTTGTAACAAACTTTGATAATGCTTCTTATTCCTCCGGGCAATGGGTCATTTTGTGTGTGTGATGGTGTTGGTAATCCCAGTATTATCATCTCAGTTTATAAAGAACCATTTTCTAAGTTCAGTAGACAGTGGATTAATTCTATTCTATATCTAAAATCCTGCATTAGCGAATAATATTGGCACAGCTAATGCTGCCTGATCTTAGGTTAAAGTCCTCCAACTTAGAAAATAGAGGTGAGAAATAATAAAAGCCCCAAAGTTGTTCTTAGTTCAATAAAGAAAAAAGTCCCTAGTGACTGTGATTTAATAAAGCAAGGTCGGGTAAAGACACACATCATTTTAAAAGTTCCAGGCGCCTGGGTGAATGCCGGTCATGATCTCCGCCGGTTTTAGGTGGGACGACTACATCATTTCTGTGCTGACAATGTGAAACTTCACGCGGGATTCTCTCTGCCCTTTCCCCCACTGACACTGTCTGTGTCTCTACTCTCAAAAAAAATAAACTTGTATCACGGGGCTCCTGGGTGCCGGTGATTCGCGTCCGACTTCAACCAGGTCACGATCGCCTTGATCGTGAGTTCGAGGCAGCGTCGAGCTCAGGCTGATGGCTGGGGCCTGAACCTGTTTCATTCTGTGTCTCCCTCTCTGCCCTCCCGTTCATGCTCTGTCTCTCTGTCCCAGAAATAAATAAAAAGCGTTGAAAAAAAAATTAAAAAAAAATAAATAAACTTGTAAAACAATTTTTAAGAAGTTCCAAAGGTGATTGTGATAACATCTAGGGTTGAGAACCACTAGTCACCATGAAATAAATCTTACTAGGTAAAGAGTATGTATCTGATAATTTTCTGTAATTGAAGGCTCAAATAGTTATATAAATTATTTGATCTTTCAGGAACTTCCAGAACCAACTCCAGTGAAGACTAGACTACCTCCTGAAATCTTTTGGTGATGCTCGATGATTTCTGGAGTTTCTTAACAGAACTTTTTGATCTTCAAAGATGAGTTTCGGGGGGAGTTACCCCTAGGCAAGTGCAATTGCTGTGTTAGAGTTCACCCTAAGAGTGGTGGCTTAAAGTAATAAATTATTATCTCTCAAAAAATTCTGTGGTCAGTGGACTTAGCTGTCCAACCCTTTCTTGGAGTCTCTCATGTGGATTTACAGAAGTGACTGGGACTGGAATTCTGAGAGAAACACCTGGCTGGATGGTCAAAGATAGCTTCCTCACACAATGCCTGGTACTCGTGCTCCTCCATTGGCATCCCACTCGTCGAGTAGCCTACACTTGTTATGTGGCAGCTAAGGACTCTCCAAGAAAGAAGAGAACAGAAACCAGCCTTCTTAAGGCTAGGCACCTCGTTTAGCAAGCCTTGTTCTCAATAGTCCATTGGTCCAGGCCTGCTGGGATTTGAGGGGTGGAGAATAGACTCCTTGAGGGTATCATGGTTTATGTTAAGTGTGAGGGAAGGATGTTAAGTGTAGGGAAGGAAGGAAATTGTGACATCAGCCATATTTTGAATAAGTTATACCTTTTGATTTGTGATTCTGTATTGACTCTGTGTACTTTTCCCTTTGATAACAATTATAATAACTACATTGATTGAGGAGGGGCTTTGGATCCCATTTTTGGCTTTTAATTGTCAAATACCAAAATAGTTTTCTTAAAATGAGAGACCTCAAAAGACGAAATTATAATGCCACCATTTTTAAGAAAGAGTATATTCTTCAGGAGGTCACATTCCCTCAATTTCTCTTTTATGAGCTGGGTGAGGCATGCATCATGTGCCTCAGAGATCAAGGTCTAAACAATACTGGTTTAGGTAAAGAATAAATTAGATAAACAATTGTGACTTGGATACAACATTGGGATCATAAAAATTTAGATTTTCAAAATTTTTAATAAAGGATTACATCTAATGACAATGATTGCCTCTCCTGCGCTGTTTGCGGTAGCAGTGTGTCCCACTTAATGAGAGCAGCGGAGGGGCAACAGTAACAAATCTTTAGTTGTTATTCAAATTAAGAATAAAATTATAATTTTTAATTTTGTGCCTTATATTTACACCTGAAAGTTTAAGCCTTAAGGCCAGAGCCCAGTGCATAGCTGGAACCCATGAGTTGCAAGATTATGAACTAAACCAAAGTCGGACACCTGACTGAGCCACCCAGGTGCCCTGAGATCGCATTTTCTCCTAACACTTTGATTAATTTATTTCTAATCTTTATTCTGGGCCCTAAAAAAGAGAGATACAGCATTTATAATTTTGTATTTTTGTTTATTTAACATTATTGTAGGGCTGCTGGGTAGCTCAGTCTTAAGTGTCCAACTCTTGATTTTGGCCCCGGTCACTATCTCTCGTTTCATGAGATCAAATCCTACATTGGGCTCTGCGCTGACAGTCTGGAGCCTACTTGGGGTTCTTTCTTTCTCCCCGTCTACCCCTTTCCTGCTTGCATGTGTACACATGCATATGCTCTCTCTCCCCCTTAAAATAAATAAAAATTTTAAAAACACGTTTTTAAAAATGTTGTAAGCATACTTTCATGCTTAAATAAATAAACTAAGGTGGAATTTTTAGTGACTGTGTAACAGTTAATCAAATAGATACAGGTAAGTGCTTTATAATTTTTGCTCATAAATGATGATACCCGTTCAAATTTATGAATAAGAGTCTTTCCTATTTTTGGATTATGTCCCTGGATAAATTTGTAGAAGTAGAATCTTATGTCAAAGGGTAGGAACATTTTAAAAACTTTCTATACAAACATATGTGGATATTTGTTTGCTAAACATGTGCTTATTTACATTCTTAGCAACAATGATTGAGAACACCCATCTTATTACATCCTACAAGAATTATCTGGGGTGGGGAGTGGAAGACTTAGTATAGCAGACTATTTAAAGCACAATGAATAAGTTCTGTAACTGTCTCTAGTCACTTTATGTTAAAAATTTGGTAAGTGCACATCTATTACCTTCAGTGGTCCTAAATTTCAAAGGAAGAGAATAATATTAACATACGTTAAACATTTATTGGAAAATAAGTATATAATGTAATAAATAAAAATTATTTATACTCTGCTTCACTGGAGACTTTTTAGGGTCATTATTTACCTTGCAGTTTCAAATACCAGAACCAAGAAGTATCAAAAGACCAAGTGAGCAAGAGAAATGGTCGGGAATAAAAGAAAAAGAAGTCCACCAACTGTGTTCTGATAATTGCTTTTACTTACTGGTCCCTCTGTGTATCCCTAAGCTGTTAGGGTTAAATGAATCTTGAAAATAACAACTATATTTCAAATATAGGAGGAGGTTTTATTTTAGGTACTCTAATAATTTGTTACTTTACTTTGTCAGGATTTAATTGATTTGAAATAGAGCTGCTGTAGGCAGAGTCAGATTGAATTAATATTTATCCAGGAGCTACTATGTGTGAGACATTTTCCATATTTATAGCAGTTGTATTGGCAGGTGTTGTTTTGATCAGTGGTTCTAACACTTTAGCATGCATCAGAATCACCAGAAAGATTTAATGAAAACATCAACTGTTGGGGCACCTGAGTGGCTCAGTCTGTTGAGTGTCCGACTTTGGCTCAGGTCATGATCCCACTGTTCATGGGTTCAGGCCCCATGTCGGGCTCTGTGTTGATGGCTTGGAGCCTGGAGCCTGCTTTGGATTCTGTGTCTGCCTCTATCTCTGCCCCTCCCCCACACGTGTGCATGCGTGCTCTCTCTCTCTCTCTCTCTCAAAAATGAATAAACATTTAAAAAGTGAAAAACACACAAACAAGCAAAATCAACTCTTGGTCCCAACCCCAGAATTCCTTGTTCAGTAGGTATGGGATGGGGCCCAGCTATTTGTAATTCTTACAAGTTCTCAGGTGATAATGATGCTGCTTTACAAGGTTCTTAGAAGTGGGGTGCCTGGGTGGCTCAGTTGGTTGAATGTCCGACTTCGGCTCAGGTCATGATCTCGGGGTTTGTGAGCTCGAGCCCCGCATCAGGCTGTGTGCTAACAGCTTGGAGCCTGGAGCTGCTTTGGATTCTGTGTCTTCCTCTCTCTCTGCCCCTCACCTGCTTGCAGTCTCTCTCTCTCTCTCAAAAATAAATAAACATTAAAAAAAGTTTTTTAAAAAGCCAAAGTTCTTATAAGAAACTTTATGAACCTTTTGTTTTAGGAAAGAGAAAAATTACGTGAAGAAAAACGGAAATATATGGAATACTTAAAACAGTGGAGTAAACCTAGAGAAGATATGGAATGTGACGATCTTAAGGTATAAGTATGTTATGTGATGTTTCACGCCCATGCTCTGTGTGCCCTATGTGGCTTTGCTGATGAAATTTTTCTTTCATAGTGGCTTCTTCATATTTAAGAGGAATAGCCAATTAACCAAATGCTATATTTAGAGTTCCAAAACAGCATTATTAGTATTTTGTAACAAACTTTGATAATGCTTCTTATTCCTCAGACTTAATGGGTCATTTGTGTGATCGTTGGTAATCCAGTATTATCATTCATCTCAGTTTATAAAGAACCATTTCTAAGTTCAGTAGACAGTGGATTAATTCTATTCTATATCCTAAGGAAATCCTGCATTGAAGATAATATTGGCACAGCTAATGCCTGATCTGAGAATCTTAGGTTAAAAGTCCCTCTTAACTAGAAAATGCAGTGAGAAATATACTTTAGCCCAAAGTTGTTCTTAGTTCAATAAAGAAAAAAGTCCCTAGTGACTGTGATTTAATAAAGCTGGAATAAGGCCAAGACACACATCATTTTAAAAGTTCCAGGGCGCCTGGGTGTCTCGGTCATGATCTCGCAGTTTCGTGGGTTTGAGCCCCACATCAGGCTCTGTGCTGACAATGTGAAGCCTACTTGGGATTCTCTCTCTCTGCCCTTTCCCCACTGACACTGTCTGTGTCTCTCTCAAAAATAAACTTGTAAAAAAAAAAAAAAATACGGGGCTCCTGGGTGGCGCAGTCGGTTAAGCGTCCGACTTCAGCCAGGTCACGATCTCGCGGTCCGTGAGTTCGAGCCCCGCGTCAGGCTCTGGGCTGATGGCTCGGAGCCTGGAGCCTGTTTCCGATTCTGTGTCTCCCTCTCTCTCTGCCCCTCCCCCGTTCATGCTCTGTCTCTCTCTGTCCCAAAAATAAATAAAAAACGTTGAAAAAAAAAATTAAAAAAAAAAATAAATAAACTTGTAAAACAATTTTTAAGAAGTTCCAAAGGTGATTGTGATAAACATCTAGGGTTGAGAACCACTAGTCTACATGAAATAAATCTTACTAGGTAAAGAGTATGTATCTATTATAATTTTCTGTAATTGGCTCAAATAGTTATATAAATTATTTGATCTTTCAGGAACTTCCAGAACCAACTCCAGTGAAGACTAGACTACCTCCTGAAATCTTTGGTGATGCTCTGATGGTTCTGGAGTTTCTTAATGCTTTTGGGGAACTTTTTGATCTTCAAGATGAGTTTCCTGAGGGAGTTACCCTAGGCAAGTGCAATTGCTGTGTTAGAGTTCACCCTAAAATTAGTGGCTTAAAGTAATAAATTATTATCTCTCAAAATTCTGTGGTCAGTGGACTTAGCTGTCCAACCCTTTCTTGGAGTCTCTCATGTGGTTACAGAGAGTGACTGGGACTGGAGTCCTCTGAAGGCTTACCTGGCTGGATGGTCAAGATAGCTTCCTCACACACATGCCTGGTACTCAGTGCTCCTCCACGTGGCATCCCACTCCGTCAGAGTAGCCTACACTTGTTATGTGGCAGCTAAGGACTCCAAGAAGAAGAGAACAGAAACTGCCAGCCTTCTTAAAGGCTAGGCCTGGAACTGGCAAGCCTTGTTTCTGTCATAGTCCATTGGTCAGGCCTGCTGGGATTCAAGGGAGTGGAGGAATAGACTCCTTGAGGGTATCATGGTTTATGTTAAGTGTAGGGAAGGATGTTAAGTGTAGGGAAGGAAGGAATTGACATCAGCCATATTTTGAGATAAGTTATGCCTGCCTTTGATTTGTGATTCTGTATTGACTCTGTACTTTTCCTTTGTGTAAACATTATAATAACTACATTGATTGAGGAGGGCTTTGGATCCCATTTTGGCTTTTGAATTGTCAAATACCAAAATAGTTTTCTTAAAATAGAGACCCTCAAAGACAGAATTATAATGCCACTCTTATTTTAAGAAGAGTATATTCTTCAGGAGGGCTTTCACATTCCCTCAATTTCTCTTTATGAGCTGGGTGAGGCATGCATCATGTGCCTCAGAGATCAAGGTCTAAACAATACTGGTTTAGGTAAGATAAATTAGATAAACAATTGTGACTTGGATACAACATTAGGATCATAAAAAAATTTAGATTTTAAAATTTTAAATAAAGGATTACATCTAATATTAATGATTACCTCTCCTATGCACTGTTTGGTAAACGGTAATGTCCCACATAGCTCCTGAGAGCAGCGGGGCAACAGTAACAAATCTTTGCGTTGTTATTCAAATTAGAATAAAATTATAATTTTTAATTTGTGCCTTAATTTGCACCTGAAGTTTAAACTTAAGGTGAAATATTGTATTGATTTGCTGAGGCTGACTTGACTTTCTTGAATATAGTGATTTTTGGCTTAATGGTTTTATTTTATTGTAATCATTATAAATTGTTTTTAGACTTTGCCTTGGATAATACTCTACTTCGATAAATGGACACTTAAAAAAATAATTGCACAGGCTGTTGTCGATTAAAATGTTTATTGTTCCAATGGAGTTGTTTTTTCAGTGCATGAACAGAACTTTAAATTCATTTTAAACATTTTATTCACAGAAGTATTAGAGGAAGCTCTTGTAGGAAATGACAGTGAAGGCCCACTATGTGAATTGCTTTTTTTCTTCCTGACTGCCATCTTCCAGGCGATAGCTGAAGAAGAAGAGGAAGTAGCCAAAGAGCAAATAACAGATGCAGACACCAAAGGTCAGAATTCAGTATTCTTGTTGATTGATAGTAGCTCTGTAGCTTTGAAACTGATTTTTAAACGTTATTTTAAGATTAACCTCGCTTTTACAGTTCTAAAATATAGCTGTCCAAGTTACCCAATTCCTGAGTCATATACTAACAATACATTATCAGTTGTTTTATAAAAACTTTGTTTTAATGTATCCTGTTTCTGGGGCGCCTGGGTGGCTCAGTCAGCTAATGTATCCTGTTTCTGAAGACCTTAAAATATCTACCTCTGCCCCCAATCGGTCTTGCTTTTTATTCTTTTAGATTTCTCCTATGATTTAGTAACATTACGGATTTCATTGACCAGTATCTGTAATTGCAAGAGATTGTGCTAAATGGCACTGATTTCTTTGCCTCCACCTAAGGAAATACTTTAATTATTGTTATCAGTACTTTAAGTTGAAAATACTGTTGCTGATTTCATTTGAGACGTGAAAGTTTTTAGATGAGAGTTAAGTAAAATTTAGTTTTTATTTCACCAACAGTTTGAACTAGAAATTTTGCTGTTTAAATGCTATGCACTTAAATATCTAGGGTCAGCATGTGGTACATATTAACGTAGGAATAATTCTTAGAGAAACCCTTTTTTATTTTTAAAATGGAGTATGTTCACTATTTTGTTTAGGACTTCATCAGAGGAATTGTTAAACATTTGTATGATTTGGCTTCCTGAATTACACTCTTCATGAACTTTGCCATATCACATTAGACATTGTTTAAAATATCTATAAACTATTTTAGTGTATTGCATAAAAATTCACAATAAGATAATTTGGGGGAGACATTTTTTTTTTTTAATTTTTTTTTTCAACGTTTATTTATTTTTGGGACAGAGAGAGACAGAGCATGAACGGGGGAGGGTCAGAGAGAGAGGGAGACACAGAATCGGAAACAGGCTCCAGGCTCTGAGCCATCAGCCCAGAGCCTGACGCGGGGCTAGCCTGACGCGGGGCTCGAACTCACGGACTGCGAGATCGTGACCTGGCTGAAGTCGGACGCTTAACCGACTGCGCCACCCAGGCGCCCCTGGGGAGACATTTTGATAGCAGTCTTGATACAAAAAGATGGGACATTCTTCCATTCAGATAGTATTGTTGACCTTAGATAATTTGAGCTCATTTTTTAATGCCTGATTCATGAAGCAACAGGATCATCAATATGCATCCAGTGTTGTTTTGTTTTTCTTTTACAGCCTAAGTTCAAGCAAAATATTTTCTCTAACTTGAGTGCTAATCACCATATACCCCTTATCAAGGTCATTTTAACAATGCTGTCCCCTTTATCATCTCAGATGACTTAGTCCATAAAATGAGACTCTACTAAGGGGAAGATAGAAGGGCAAACAATTCATAAAAATCTAAAGATTTTTCTAACATAACCAGTACCAGCACTAAAGATGGATTATCTAAGACAGAAAATGTGGCAAATATTCATTCTTTTAGCCACTAGATTGTCTTAAGGACCAATAATATCACAGGGCTGTGGACCAAGTTCTGACCTTAACACAAGGTATAAGTCTGTATTTAACTCAGGATTTGAAGCAGGTGAATTTTGTAGTTTTGTACTGTTGGGAAAAAGTGGGGTGAAAGGAAATTATGTTGGAAAATCAGCTAGTGTAAAGAAAAAAAATGTATATAGATATTGGTGTTTGTATTGCCATTGTATTTTGTTTCCATGATTTGTTTGATCTGTAATTTTTATAACTCTAGTCCTGTACAGGATTGCAGATAAATACTAATACAAATTAATAATTTGTATTAAATAATACAAGAATAAGTATTAAAATAATACTTATTATACCCCAGAATAAGTATTGGCCATTAAATAAAGGTTTTAATGCACCTTTTGAAGATATTTATTTAAATGTTAGGGAGCGGAAAAAACATGCTTTGGAATTTTAACACCCTTGTCTGCTTCCTGTTGTATTGGCTACATTTTATATAATTATTACAGTTTCACTAAGTACTCTAGGCTGTTCTCCCAGGTATTTTCCACATGTTCCTCCTATCTCTGTAACAAAAAAGCTTTTCCACAGTTCTCCTGAAAACAAGTGACATAAGATACTGTATATGCATTATTTCATTTAATTCTCATACCCCCTTGTGGTATAGATAGGTAGGTATAATAGGCAGATCATTATTAATTATTTTCTGCCTTTACTTATAAAGAAATTTAGTCTTAAGGAGTTTAATTAACTTGCCCAAAGACACATGGCTCATAAGAAAGTGATGGGATAGAGATTCAGGAAGTCTGCTCTGAAGCCTCATAATGCCTATACTATATTGCTTCATGATATGGCAGAGATGTTGAAAATTTGAATATTTGTTTCCCTAGCATTGCCTATAAAATTATCTGTCTTCAAAAAGATTTAAATCCTTTGGCCTTTAGGCTCCCTTTTTTTATGTCAAATCTTGGAAATTTGGGCAATTTTTAAAATCTTACATTAAAATTTTCAATTCCTCTCTTTAGTCTTACATCATGAACTTGGAAGCCCTTCAAAGTATGGGAACAAGAGCATCCTCCTTACATAGCATAGTTTTGTGTATTTGCTAAGATATCATTGTTTAGTGTTGGAATTGTAGATTCTAGATTACTCTGATGATAAATGTAACTTTAAGATAATCATAACAGACACAGTTCAGCTGTACAGTGGAGCCTTGAAGAACACAGGGGTTAGGAATGACAGCTCTCCTCACCCCTAGCTGAAAAATGCACATAAAACTTTTGGCTGCCCCCCAAACTTAACTACTAATAGCCTACTGTTGACTGGCAGCCTTACTGATAATAGAAACAGTTCATCAATACATGTTTTGTATATTATATGTATTAAATGCTGTGTTCTTATAATAAAGTAAGGTGGAAAAAAGAAAATGTTATAGAGAAAATACATTTATAGTACTGTTCTATAAAAAATCCACTTATAAGTGGCCCCACAGAATTCAAACACATGTTGTTCAAAGGTCAACTGTATTCTCTTGGTATGATATACCCAACTGACTGTCTCTAAGTGAATCCTAGAGTAATAATACAGTTTCTTGAGAGTGTCATTTGGCAAATAATTGAGTTAAAGAATACATTTTACTTTTTTTTAAGTAGGCTCCATGCCCAACATGGGGCTTGAACTCACAACCCTGAGATTAAGAGTCACGTGCTTTACCGACTGAGCCAGCCAGGCACCCCTACATATTTTAACATGCTACGTGAACACAATTAAAAGTAAACTGTTGGGGCGCCTGGGTGGCTCAGTCTGTTAAGCGTCTGACTTCAGCTCAGGTCATGATCTCCCAGGTCTGATGGTCTCACAGTTCATGAGTTCCAGCCCTGCTTTGGGCTCTGTGCTGACAGCTCAGAGCCTGGAGCCTGCTTCAGGTTCTGTGTCTCCCCCTCTCTCTGCCCTTCCCCTGCTCGCGCTCTGTGTGTGTGTGTGTGTGTGTGTGTGTGTGTGTGTGTGTGTGTGTGTGTGTGTGTGTGTGTGTGTGTGTGTCTCTCCCCCCTTCTCTCTCTCTCAAAAATAAAAAAATAAACACTAAAAATAATAAAATAAAAATAATAAAAATAATTTTTTAATCAAAAAAAGGTAATCTGTCATGTTTTCGGTTCATTTCCTAAGGCCTTTGTAACTTTGTCCTAGGATATTAAAACTGACTACAGATAAAATAGGTTGAACATGGTAATTGCTGCGAAGGAAGAGGATCAGTTCACTTTTACTGGGACTGTTATTAATATTAGAGTGCCTATTAATTTTGTTTGACTTTACATGTAAAATGAAAATTGAGGAAGTTTTAGCTCTTGTATTTCTCTGGTAAGGAAGATTATAATGTCTCATTTGGACTGGATTCTTGACCTGGTAGGAATAACTCCTGCATATTTGCAATGTTTAGTCAAATAACTTCTCCTGTGTGGCATTGTCTATGCTTTAATGCCATGAAATTGTCAATGATTGTAATCAAACATGATCCCAGAGTTGCCTTTTTCCTTTTAGTAAAGGACAGCAATTCTGTTCTCTGAGGTTCATTTTGTTAGCTTGTGAATTTTTGGAAGGAAAACATAGTAGAAAGATAAGGAACCACAGACAGTTTAGCCCAGTGATTTTTAACTCTAACCCATGGAATACTATGAGTTGTACAGGGATTCCTTGGTGCCACTGCAGGAGAGTTGGAAAAGATGAATGGGCAGGATTATCATCTCCATACCCACTTAACAAAGGAACTTTTATCTCTTTTCTATTGGATTCCCCAAGAAATATTTGAAGAATTTAAAAACCATTGATCTAGATTCACTCCTTTAGGAAAAATGAAGGCAATTAAGTGACTTGTGTAAAGGTTCTGTAACTAGGAACTAGGGGACTGGCAGAGCCAAGACTAGAATATATATGATCTGACTCAGTCTGAAGCTATGCCCACTGTACTATGATATAACAAGAGGTTTTTGTAAGCTTAGAGTTTTTTCATAGTTGACACTTTAAATTTTTTTATCAACAATATATTATAATTAGGAATAATTGCATATGCTAATACTTTAAATACATTTGTGCTAGTAGATTTACTCTAGTCTTGTTTGTAAGCTAGGGATGGTTTTCAAAGTTAAAGCAATTTACTTAGAAAATACAGGGAAATCTCCCTGTGGTTTCTTAGATTGCAGAGTTTTCAAAATATAGGAAATTTAATGAAGAGGATAAATCAATGGTTAAGTGACAGTAGTGCTATCTTTAACTTGTTTTCGTTCTTTTTCTGTGCTGGTTTTTGATGATCACAAACCATACTTTGTTATGATTCAATCCTAAAATATTTATTAAAGATTGGGGGATCTTCAAGTAGATTCTGATTTTCAAAGTAGACTTTTCTAAAGTTGTATTGAGTGAGGAGATTTGTTTTTAATTCTATGCATTTTACCATGTTTTTTGGAATGTGTATGTGCACCTTGTTGGTAACTTGGAAATTGTCTTCTCTGTGTTAACTAAGGAAGATATTAGTGTGCAGTACATGTCTTAGGATTTATAGTCTGAGGTGGACACGAGGCGGGATGTGAATGATGCTTGTTTTACCTAGTGTTGGCTCTTTTGAGGTTCCCGAATGTTAAGCTGTTTGCTGTTTCTTTCATCATTTTAAAAGGGCATTATTCCCAAATATTCCAGCTTTGATCTGCACTAGAATAAAGTATTTATTTCCTTAAAGATTTAACAGAGGCTTTGGATGAAGATGCAGACCCCACAAAATCTGCACTGTCTGCAGTTGCATCTTTGGCAGCTGCATGGCCGCAGTTGCACCAGGGTATGTGTGGGTTTTACTTATTTTTAATTGGATTTTTATTGATAATTTTATTAAGGCGCATTTTACATTGCTAAGGATTCCTTGCTTATATTCTAAATGACTGTTTCATTTTTTAACAACTATAGGCTGCAGTTTGAAAAGCTTGGATCTTGATAGCTGCACTCTTTCTGAAATCCTCAGACTCCACATCTTAGCTTCAGGTGCTGATGTAACGTCAGCAAATGCAAAGTACAGATACCAGAAACGAGGAGGATTTGATGCTACAGATGATGCCTGTATGGAGCTTCGTTTGAGCAATCCCAGTCTAGTGAAGAAACTGTCAAGCACTTCAGTATATGATTTGACACCAGGTAAACTTTGCAAGTTGGAATTTGTATAACGTGCCCCCTTCCTACCCTCTTTTATCTCTTTAGGCCAGAAAACTAGGTGCTGATGAGAAATTTTAGATGATACCAGTTTTAAAAGAAAGAGCAGTCTTAAAAAAATTGTTGGACTACAAATAGTGACCCAGATGGAAACTACTGTTGTTTTCCTATTGGCTTTAACTGTTTCTGATTTTCTTTTCTTTTTTATTTGGATTTTCCTGGTGGCTAATCTACTACATCTACTAAATTTAGAAGGATAAGTGACAATTAGCTGGCTTTCACTTTTATTTATCAGTATATCAGAAATTTAAGCCAGAGCAGCTAAATTCTAACATTTGCTTGAATAGTGTTTGAGGTATGAGAAATGGTGTATGAAGGTGAAGTTTCTTTTCACTTCCTTTCTTAAATAAAAAATTACAGTGTACAAACATACCAACTTTAATATGATTATTTATCATAAGAGACTGTTAAAAACTGAGAACAAACTGAGGGTTGATGGGGGGTGGGAGGGAGGGGAGGGTGGGTGATGGGTATTGAGGACGGCATCTTTTGGGATGAGCACTGGGTGTTGTATGGAAACCAATTTGACAATAAATTTCACACACACAAAAATAATAATATGCTTATTTCAGAGAACATCTAATAAAAGTAGAGTGCATTCATTCCTAACATCCATATAGTTTTTATAATCTATGGTGGGTTTTTTGTTTTTGTTTTTTTTTTGTGTGTGCAGTATTTTCAGAGTAGCAATTTGCCTGTTGCCATTTTTTAAAAATCCATGTGGTTGTAATTTAGACTTTATTTGAACTTCATAAATGAGCCAAAAATTAAAACTTGAAAAAAATTGTCATTAGAAAATTTTTCATGTGTATTTAACTGGTATATAAAGTAGTTACTAGTATTTGAAATGCCTTGCATATTACATAACTATTAATTTGGACTCAGTTGCTTTTTCTGAAGACATGCCATTGGCATGTTTGATCTTGGGACTTTTTCCTATTTTTTTAAGCATTTTCACATTGAGCCACAAATTAAGATTTTTCAAACAATTCCGTTTTGTCATTAAATGATACAGAATTTATTTACCAATTTTTGACAGGAGAAAAAATGAAGATACTTCATGCTCTCTGTGGGAAACTACTGACCCTAGTTTCTACTAGGGATTTCATTGAAGATTATGTTGATATATTACGACAGGCAAAGCAGGAGTTCCGGGAGTTAAAAGCAGAACAACATCGGAAAGAGAGGGAAGAAGCAGCTGCTAGGTGAGAGATGATTATAGTCAGTTGTGCCAATGAAGGCTGCTTATTCCTTTACATCTAAAACCGTACTTGACAATGGGCTGTAATATGACCTTGGTTCACACTGGTGTTTGATGGCTTACCTAAGAGGTTATGAATGAATATTACCTTATGGTTTTGTGATAACATTTGGATCACTTTCCATAATTTTATGGTTGAAGACAAGATGCTAAAAGTTGAAATTATCTTCCATCAAATAGACTGTAGTATTTTATTTTAACTTTCAGAATTCGCAAAAGGAAGGAGGAAAAACTGAAGGAACAAGAACAAAAAATGAAAGAGAAACAAGAGAAACTGAAGGAAGATGAGCAAAGAAATTCAGCCGTAGATATATCTGTTGGGTATGGTTTGAATTACACTGCTCATTCTTACATAAGAACAAAAATCAGCACTGTAGACTCTAAAATGCTTTCAAAAGTTTTAAAAACTAGCATTCTAGTTTCTTATTCATAGGTACATAACAATTGTGCCAATGGGCCTGTAGCCTCTTTTTAACCAGTAATGTATTAATAGTGGTATCTCCCATCTCCACCACCATCACCATTGTGCATTATGTTTCACAAAGCTCCTTTGAGTTTATTGAGGAGTGGGGATGAAGTTGGAGGTTTTAATAGATGGTATAGGGAGAAGATGAAAGCCCCTTAAGTAATTTAGTGACTTAGGTACTCTTTTTCATTTGAAAATATTTGGGGTGATAATTGGCTATGAATACAAGTGGGAATTTTTTCATATTGTACATGGCAAACTGTATTCAAATTTACCAGAATTTTTTTTATAAAATCTGCAAAGGAAGATTACCAAAAATCTCAGTATTCCGAAATTAATGTATTGACTTTTAGTTATACTTTCATATAAAAATACCTGTAAGTCACAAACTTGCAACAGCTGTATTTTATATGGCCATCAACAATACTTTAAGAAATAGAATTTAGGGGACGCCTGGGTGGCTCGGTCGGTTAAGCGTCCGACTTCGGCTCAGGTCATGATCTCGCGGTCCGTGAGTTCGAGCCCTGCATCGGGCTCTGTGCTGACAGCTCAGAGCCTGGAGCCTGTTTCAGATTCTGTGTCTCCCTCTCTCTCTGCCCCTCCCCTGTTCATGCTCTGTCTCTCTCCGTCTCAAAAATAAATAAACGTTAAAAAAAAAATTTTTTTTTTTAAAAGAAATAGAATTTAGCTTAGGAAAGTTAATCTGATACCTAAATAACAAGCAATCAAAGAAAAAAAAACGAATACTTTGATTTCATCAAAGTTAAAAACTTTCATGCTTCAAGGAGCACTGTCAAGAAAGTAGAAAGAGGTGTCTGGGTGGCTCAGTTGGTTGCACGTCCAACTCTTGACTTCAGCTTTTATCGTGATCCCAGGATTGTGGGATCGAGTCCTGTGTCAGGCTCTGCACTGGGTGTGGAGCCTGCTTGGGATTTGCTCTCTCTGTCTCTCTCCCCTGCTTGCACCCATGTGCACTCACTCTCTCTCTAAGGGGGAAAAAAAAGTAAAAAGACAGCTCAGTAGATGGGAAAAAATATTTGCAAATCATATCTCTAATAATGGTATAATATCCAGGGATGCCTAGATGGCTCAGTTAAGCATCCAACTTCAGCTCAGGTGATGATCTCATGGTTCGTGGGTTTGAGCCCCACGTCTGGCTGTGTGCTGACAGCTCAGAGCCTGGAGCCTGCTTCGGATTCTGTGTGTGTGTGTGTGTGTGTGTCTCTGCCCCTCCTCTGCTTGCACTCTGTCTCTCTCTCTCTCTCTCTCTGTCTGTTTCAAAAGTAAACAAACATTAAAAATAATAATAATAATAATGGCATAATATCCAGAATATGTAAAGAACTCGTACAACTCAACAATAAAAGAACAACCGGTTTAAAAAATGGGAAAAGGATTTTAATAGGCATTTCTCCAAAGAAGATATACAAGAAGCACAGAAGATATTCAACATCTTTAGTCATTAGGGAAACACACATCGAAATCACAATGAGATATTACCTCATACTCACTAGGATGGCTGTAATCCAATGAAGGGACAATAAGAAGTGTTGGTGAGACTGTGGAGAAATCGGAACTCTCATGCATTGCAGGTGGAGATGTAAAATGGTGCGGCTGCTCTGGATAAATTTGGCAGTCCCTCAAACAGTTAAAACATTTGTTGGCATAGGACCCAGCGATTCCACTCCTAGGTATATACTCAGAGAATTAAGAGCATACGTTCACCCAGAAATCTATATACAAAAGTTCATAGCATCATTATTCTTAATAGCCAAAGAAATGGAAATAACCCAAATGTCCATCAGTTGATGAATGGTTAAACAAAACGATGTATTTCTTCAGTGATATATCCATATAGCAGAAGGTTATTCAGCAATAAAGAAGAATGGAATTCTCATACATGCTACAATGTAGATAAACTTTGAAAACGGTGCTGAGTAAAAGAAACCAGTCATAAAAGACCATGTGTTGTATGATCTCATTTATATAAGTAGTCCGGAATGGGCAAATACAATACACAGCAAAAAGTAGATGAGTGGGTACCAGGACAGTGGGGAAGAGGAAATGGAAAGTGACTACTAATGGCTGTAGGCTTTTTCTTTGGGGATGATGATACTGTTCTAGAATTAGATGGGTGTAATGATTGCACAACCTTGTAATATACTAAAAACCACTGAATTTGTATACTTTAAAATGGTGGTTTTAGGGTATGTGAGTTATATCTCATTTTTTTTCACATTTTATAAACCCTTTCCAGTTTTATTGAGATATAAGTGACTTATAACATTGTATTAATCATTTAGGGTATACGACATAATGATTTGATACATGCATATGTTGCAAAATAATTACCAGAATAAGTTGAGTTACTATTCATCACCTGAATTTTTTCTTTCTGATATCTTAATTTAAAAACAAAAGAAGGGCACCTGGGTGGCTCAGTTGGTTAAGCGTCCAACTTCGGCTCAGGTCATGATCTCACGGTTGGTGGGATCGAGCCCTGTATTGGGCTCACTGCTGTCAGCACAGAGCCTACTTCAGATCCTCTATCTCCTCTCTCTCTGTTCCTCCCCTGCTGGTTCTCTCTCTCTGTCTTTCTCAAAAATAAACAAACAAACTTAGAAAAAATAAAAATAAACGTTACAGATTCCACCATTTCATATATTTTTATACTCATCTAGCCTCCCCTCATTTACATTATCCCTCTGGCTCCTAAACACATTTGAGTTTGCAAACCTTGCTTTGGATAAAGACCATAAATGGTGGAACTTATTGGGGCGCCTGGGTGGCTCAGTCGGCATCCAACTCTTGATTTTGGCTCAGGTCAGGATCTCACAGTTCAGTTCGTGAGCTCTGCATTGACATTAGAGAGCCTGCTTGGGATTTTCTCTGCCCCTCCCCCGCTTGTGTTCAGGCACACACTCTGTCTCTCTGAATAAATAAAATATGGTGGAACTTATTTCAAGGTTCATACAATTTTAAACTTAAAAATTTTTTTAATGTTTATTTATTTTTGAGAGAGAGCAGGAACAGGGGAGGGGCAGAGAGAGAGGGAGACACAGAATCCGAAGCAGGCTCCAGGCTCCGAGCTGTCAGCACAGAACTGGACGCGGGGCTCAAACCCACAAACCGTGAGATAATGACCTGAGTCAAAGTCAGACGCTTAACTGACTGAGCCACCAGGTGCCCCATACAATTTTAGTTTTAATTTGGATAGTATAATGAATTAAATATCCATATTGTATTTATTCAGCCTGTTAACTGTATCAGACATTTATCTTCTCTTCTCCACTATTTGTCTACTTACCACCTACTTTCTACTCTGAGCCGACCATCACCTCCCAGCCAGCTACCTAGACTGTTAACAGTGGCCCCTTGTCTCCCTTCATCTACTTTCTCTCCCAGATCCTTTTCCACATAGCAGCCAAAGTGCCTTTTAATCATTTCTGTTTTCTAAATTCTACTTTTCCCCCCATTGCTTATTGAATAATTCCCTACAAGGCCCAGTATGACCTAACTCTGCCCTTGTCTCATCTATATCTAGGACGACTTCTTTGTTTTATATTTTTCTCAAAATAATAGAGAAAAAAGCTCTTTCCTTTTCTCTTCAGCTCAATGCCATTGCACACATTTTCCCCTCTGCTAGAAATGGAGATTTCTTCTCACCTGCTGCCTTACCCCTCCCTGGTCTCCCTAGTCTCACAGTTTAAATATCACTTCTTCAAGCAAGCCTTTCTTTTTCGCTCAGGTCATGATCTCACGGTCCGTGAGTTCGAGTTCTTCAGCGTCGGGCTCTGTGCTGACTCAGAGCCTGTGAGCCCAGCCTGTTTCGATTCTGTGTCTCCCTCTCTCTCTGCCCCTCCCCTGTTCATGCTCTGTCTCTCTATGTCTCAAAAATAAATAAACGTTAAAAAAAAAAAAAAAAAGAAAGGTTTGCTTGAAGAAGTGATATTTAAACTGTGAGACTAGGAGACCAGGGAAGAGGTAGGCAGCACAGTGAGAAGAAATCTCCATTTCTAGCAGAGGGGAAAATGT